CACACACACACACACACACACACACACACACACACACACACACACACGCTGACCTCCCCAGCAAAGACAGGCACAGGACACTGGAACACGCCTGGGCCTCCAGGCCTCAGTGGAACATGGGAGTTGAGTGCGGGCAGCACTGAGCTGCAAACCAGCTGCACGGTTTTGCCTTTTCGGGTGCTGACTTTTGCCGTGAACTGTGTTTTCGTGAGAGGCATCCGTTTCCGTGAGGAAACGGTGAGAAGAGGCTTATTCCACCCAGCGCTGTGCCCCGGGAGGAGCGTGTGTGTGCCGCTAACACGCTCGCCCGGAACAGCAGGCTTGTTTTTCTGTAGTACGGACGTGCGGCACACAGAACAGACTGTGCTTTGCTCGTTCTCTGTAGTGGTTGCTAGGAAGCCCTAAGACAATACTTTGGCCCACCTCTTGCTGGTTCTGGTGCCCGGAAACTTGCGGCCCGCACATCTATCTGTTCTCTCATCTCCCTCCTACCCTTGCTAAAACTTGCTCCTTTTTTTTTTTTTTTTTTTCATTCCCACACGACAGTTATTTTTAATAATCGATCTCAACTCCTTTCTGGCTAGATCTAGTTTAAAAACAATGTTGACGTATTTAAATTTTATTCATATATTCACTATAAGAAAAAAATACAAATGATGAGTTCCCTAGTATCATGAGCTCAACGTCCATATGTACATGACTTAAATATAGAGCAGTAAACATAGGCACAGAGGAACATTATTTAGAATCACAGCCTACCCTAATGTCACAAATAAAGCCCACTCTTGTTCCGTATTTATGCCACTTCCACGTGTGCACACACGTGCATACACACATGAACACACATGCGCACACACATGAACCACATAAACACAGCACGTTACATCCATGTCATATACATACCGAGCTGCTCTGCAAGGAGCCGGCCCTTCTCAGTTGGGACCACCCTTTCTTCTTCCATGTCACACTTATTTCCCACCAGAATAACCTGTGCGTTGTCCCAGGAGTAGGTCTTAATCTGAGTGGCCCTAAGGAGAGAGAGACAGAGGGAAAGACAGCAATCAGTCATCCCCCACCTTTTCGATTCACCCGCTGGGCTGTTCGGGATCTGGCAGGGATCCTGGAATCGGAGCGCCTCGGAGGGTCTGCTCAGCACTCGCAGGAGATTGGAGATGTTGGCACTCCCTTGGACAGGTCTCCAACTCAGTCGCTTACGGCTTCTTTCAGCCAAGAAGCTTTTAAGTGATGTCAGGGGTGTAGGTATTTAAACTAGATAAACGAACCAGACATCTACAGATGATAAGTTACAAAGAAGTTTACTGTAAAACAGCTCTTTGGTGCACATAGATGTGTAATTTTACCATTCACTAAAAACTGAAGTAAACTGCATCCTGGGATGGATTTGTTGCTTATTTTATGTTTACACAAACAGTCAAATCTTGGCTGAATATTTGGCACTGAAAGACAGCGCTTTTAAATTAAAAAAAAAATTTTTTGAGCAGGGTGTGGTGGTTCATGACTTTAATCCCAGCACTTGGGAGGAAGGGCGGGCAGATCTCTGTGAGTTCGAGCCCGGCATGCTCTACAGAGTGAGTTCTAAGACAGCCAGGACTACATTGACAGACCTTGTCTCAAAAGACCTAAACAACAAAATAAAATTTAAAAAACGGAGTCAGGGGCTAGGGAAATAACTCAGCAGCTAAGAGCACTGGTTGCTCTTGGAGAGGGCCCAGGTTTGGTTCTCAGGGCCTACAAGGTGGCTCATAGCCGTTCATAACTCCAGTTCCTAACTGTAACTCACTCTTTAAGATTTGCTCATGGAGGAGTGGAGAAAGGGCCATCAGAGCTGAGCTTATAGCCACTCCCCCTGCTCCTAGGCACACACATACTCTTTCTGTCTCTGCCTCTGTCTGCCTCCCTGTCTGTCTGTCTCTCTCACTCACCTACCAGTTGCATATAATCCTGCTCCAGCTGCACCTGTCCTTAGGAGATGCAGGTAGTCCCATTCATACAGGACGCCTATCAGACTTGATTTTTGGTTCTTGGTTTGTTTTTTTGTATTTTTGTTTTCTTTGAGATAGAGTATCACTGTAGCCCAGGGTGGACTGGAATTCAGTATGTAGCACAGGTTGGCCTCCAATTCCATGCCCCTCCTGTTTCCAAGATTTCAGATTCGAGCTCTCAGCTCAGTGATGAGATGTTCATTATTGAGACAGGGTCTCTCTGTGTAGTCCAGTCTGGCCCCTAACGCACAGAGATTCTGCTGCCTTAATCTCTCAGATATTTGAGGTGTGAGCTACCACTGTCCAGCTGGATCATGGAATCTTTAAAAGATACTTTTCAATATTTGTTCTTGGCATTTTTAAAAACGTAGACAGGTATATAACTTCTATAATTAGAAAAATTTTAGAAGAACAACATAGGACCCTGCACAGTACACATTTTTGGGGTGCGGGGAACGGGCCCAATTTTCTATCTAACTCTCCCTTCAGGTGTCATGTCCCTTCAGTCCCTGGCCCCTCCACCATGGTATCCCTTTTACCTGCCTGAAGTCTTTCCCAGGGGGCAGGGACAGGCCTCTTCATCTTTGTGATGCCGGCCTCCAGTGGCGAACACAGAAGAGATAGGTTGGCAGTGCCTAAGGCACAGCTTGACTCTGGCCCTACCTGACGTCAACACCCAGTCCAGCTGGACCCTAGCTCCAGCCTGGACAGTTCTGATTCTGTTCCTCAGGCCAGCCCACCACTGGCTTTATCAGTGAAGCCAGTGAAAAGCTGACTGTTCCCTTAAGAGACAGGATTCACTCAGCCAGCAATCGCTGTGAGCTCACAGGAAGCCAGGCTCTGCTCTGGGTACTAGGCTTTGGGTGGCTGGGACCAACTTGCTTGGAAGGCAGACTCACAAGTACATGGGAGAGGGGGACACTCAACCTTCGGGACCCAAACCCGAAGCCAACCTCTGGTCTGTCTTTCACTCTCCCTTTCACCTTCCCCTACACCCCTCCCCCCAGCCTCTCTCAGCTCCCAGATTAGCTACTGAGCTCAGGTTATTCTTAGAAAACCATTACCAGGTGTTAAAATCACTGTGTTCCTGAGGCAAAATGAGCAGGGACTGATGGAGAGAAGGAGAGGGTCATGGCGGACAGGAAAGGAGCAGCATGGTGACAAAGACAGAGCTGGTCACTCCTCCGGAGGCAAGGGGAGACATGGGGAAGGCAGGCAAAGATGGGCAGAAGGGAAATTATAACTGGAAAGACTAAGGAGAAAGAAGAAACCACTGGAGGAAAGGACAGAGAGGGGAGCGGAGGCAAGGTTGGTGCTGGTCAACACTTGCTAGCTCCCTGGCTCACTCAGTCCTCTGCTGCCAAAGAACAGTGTAGGTACAGACACCCCACCTTCTGTCCTCTACTGACTAGGATGCTGGGCCTCGGAGCCTCGTCCTCACATGTCCCCCTTTTCCCTGTGACTGATGCCCCAAGAAGACATCAGGGTCTCAGAGGTTGTTCTCTGGAGTACTGTGACGGTTCCACTGCAAACAGAAGCCCTCTGAACTTGGACTGGATATACTATACTCCAAGCGTGGCCCAGTGATAGAGGTGCTATGTGGGCTATGTAGCCAGAGGGGCCATCCTGAAACAGAACCTGGGAACTAGTTCATTTCTAAATCATGACGTAGACGGTAAAATTCAGTCTAACCCCCAAACACAAAAGCTCCCATGACCTACATTTTTCTTACCTTCTCACCTACCTTCTCATTTTTGCATTTTTTTTTTCTGGAATTCCTTTTGTCCCTCGGGCTAACTCCTGTTTATTCCTCCGAAATTAGCATACCTGTCCTCAACCCCAAGATGCCTTTCCCTGACTCCAGCAGCTGGATCAGAAAGAGTGCCCTGCTGGGTCCCACATCTCTGTTGGTACAGGGTTGATACTGGCCAGTCTTCATCAACTTGACACAAACTAGAGTCATCTGGGAAGAGGGCGCCTCAGCTGAGGAGATAGATGCCTCCATCAGACTGTCTGGTAAGTCTGGGGGAGGATATTTTCTTGACTAATGGCTGATGTGGGAGGACCAGCCCACTGTGGGCGGTGCCACGCCTGGGTAGGTGGTCCTGGAGTGAGCAAGCTGTGGGGAGCAAGGCAGTAAGCTACGGTGGTGTTCCTCAGTGGTCTCTGCTTCAGTTCCTGCCTCAGGTTCCTGCCCTGACTTCTCTCAGTGAGCTGTAAGATGAAATAAACCCTCTTCTCCCCAGGTTACTTTTGGTCAGTGTTTCATCGCAGCAACAAAGAGCAGAGTAGGATGACACCTGTCACGTGACATTTTCATGATCTGACTCCTGGTCTGATTTCTCCTCTCATGTGGGGACATCTTAAAATCAGGAGCTATGACTGATTCACCTGGTTTCCCTTAACACATAGCACAGGCTTAGCACAGGCTAGGTTGTCATGAACAGTCTGGCGAAGGAATTAATGAATGAAGTTGGTATGTACCAGTCCTGGACAGCATTGAAGGACTCCTCGTTGGTGATGTCATACATCAGAATGAAGCCCATGGCCCCACGATAATAGGCTGTGGTGATGGTCCGGTACCGCTCTTGCCCGGCTGTGTCCTGGGTGAGAAAAGGAAAGCAGTGAATAAACTGTAATAAATAATAGTAGTAGTGATAATAATAACCCTATATTCTCCCTTTAATTAGCATATGTGACTGTACGTGATAACAGGTTTTATTATAGGCATCCCCAGTACCTTTCCTGTTCTCCTCCTCTGCTCTTGCTGCTTCCCTTTCTCTTTCTCCACCCACCTAGTTCCATATATATGTATATATATGTATACACAGTATATATGTGTATATATGTGTGTATATAGGTATATGTATGTATACACACACACACACACACACACACACACACACACACGAGTGATGATTTTCATCAGGGTTACTTGTAGGGTCCTGGAAGAGGAACTGTTTGTAGAAGCATGGGCTCTTTATATCAGTGACTAAACCACTAAAACAAATGTCTCTCCCTCCCTCAGCAACCATCAAGTCCCTATGGAAACTCAGGGAGGGGTGGAGCCTCATGGCTTCCCTTCTCCCCAGCCCCCAGCCCCCACTTCGATACCATTATCTGTCCAAAGGTCCTGGTTGGGGAAAGCTCGAGGGCTCTCTTTCCTCTTTTGACAGGATGTTGACAGACCCAATCTTGCGCAACAGCAGGGTGGATGGGATGGCTCAGTGGGTAGGGGCCCTGTCATCGCAGCTGATGACCTGAGTTCAGCTGTCTGGGACCACATGGGATGAGGAAAGAATTGATGCACACAGGTTGTTCCCTGGCCGCCCCGCACACGCGCCATGCGTGAGTGAGAGAGACAGCGTGCTCACACTTACACAAAGCAAAAGTGAGACAGCAATGCCATACTCCAAAGATAACATTCTGCCCCAGTCTACACTTTCCTCAATATAGAAATCCCGTTCAACACTTTCTTATTCTCAACACTTTTGCCAGTTATGAGTCTTTGCAGTTACTACTACTCATCGCAAAAAGAAGCTTCTCTGACCAAAGCTGATGGTGGTGTTAATCTATGAAAATAAATATTTAGGCAGCAATATGATGGATGCATCTTGTCCATTTAGCAAAATAACACTAGGGCCTATGACGTCACTGGTTACAGGCTTTTAACCAGGCTTGAAGTACCAAATATGGACTCCCTCCTCTGACATGAGCCTCAAATCCGATCAAGGAGCAGTTGGCTACTCCTGTGACTGACTTGCCACTATGGCACAGAGAAAATTCGTTTCCTAGCTGGTTGGTAGCCCAGTGCACCTGAGGAAGAGTTCTGATGGTAACTCTCGCCCAACAGCCTGGTACTGTAACAACTAGCTCTCAGGGAAGAAACGTCCCTCTTGGTTCCAGCTTGATTTTTTTCACTCTTGTGACGAAAGCATGAAATGAGCAATAGGGTCTAGTTCTTCTAAGTAACCAGTGGCTGTGGCTAATGCCTGTATTGTGTGGGGAACCGCAGAGGTCTTCCTGACCAGCTACTCACAGGGAAGGGATACTCTGGCCCTGCTGCAGGATCTTTACTTAATAAACTCGTAGTTTCTGGGAACAGCTTCATTCATGTAATGTAAGCATGTAGCATACGTGTGCATGCCTGGTGCCTATGGAGGTCAGAAAAGGGTGCCTGAGGCCAAAGAGAGTGTAGGATCCCCTGGGACAGGAGTTACAGACAGTTGGGAGCTGCCATGTGGGTGCTGGGAATCAAACCCAGGTCCTCCGGAAGAGCAGCCAGAGCTCTTGGTGGCTGGGCCCTCTCTCCAGCCCCTTGATTTGATTGCTTGTTGGCTGACCCATGATCAGTTTTCTTCCGGGTTCTCATCCGCCCTTAGTTTAAGCTGACCCTCTCCTCCTCCCCATCTCTCTGCCTTCCTCTTCGCGCTTAACACCACACTCTGCCCGGAGCTCCGCACTTGCGTTGTTATTTCACAAAGCATTCTACCCTCACCCCTTCTCTCGAGCCCTCTTCTAGCATCCAGGCCTCTGCACATCCTGCCTAAGCTCACACATTTAACAGTTAGCAGGCAGGGTCCATGTATGAGAAAATACATGGATTCCTCTTCTGGCCTTGGGCTACCTCTCTTAATATAATTTTTTTTTGAGTTTTATTCATTTACTACAGATTTCATAATTTCACATTTTTAATGGCCAAACGAAATTTCTTTCCTCTTATTTTCAATAATGATTTCCAGGTCAGGAGAGATGAATTATTAGGTAAAGCCTGACAACCAGAGTTCGAGCCCAGAAGCCCACAGTGTGGAAGAACCAAAATCTTGTCCTCTGGCCTGTGCACTCCCACTGTGGCACACAATGAATGCAATACAGCAATAAATAACAATAAAATTTAGACTTCAAAAAAATACAGAGACTGTAAGTGACTTCTCCAAAGTCATAACAGTGATGACAAAGGTACAGCCCTGAGCCCAGGACTTCTAAGTCCAGTGTGCATGCCACAACACCTCAATCCATGAAAACGCTTTATCTACAAGCATTTGCTGAGCTCCACGCCTGGCAATGATGAGAATAAACAGCAAGGGCAACACGAATTCTAGAGCAGCGCCATTGTACCGAGGAACCAGAAATTTAAGGCCCCGTGGAATACATGTTGGTACTCTTGTTTGACAGGTGAAAAAGCCGTGGTTTGGAGAGATTGTCTTGATAAATGTTAGAACTGGGAACAGAGTCAAGTCTATCTGACTTTACACCTCCACAACATACTCCCAAGCCATGAACTTTGTGTGCCGGAGCAAATGCCATCCCTGTTCTCGGAGAGCCTCGGTAGAGCTTCATAGCGGGGCTAAGACTTTCCACTGAACTAGTCGTTGGCTATAGGAGACAATACGTCACAGATCTATAAAAGTGGGAGAGAGAAAAGTGACTTGAATTCAGCTGGGGGAGAAACAGCATTGCGGAAGTTACAGGAAAGTCGGAAAGCAGAGGTCGCTCTATCTGGGTGGTCTGGACCCTTCGGTAACACGGGATCCCTAAGTCTTAGCAGCTTCAGCACCATGCTGTTGTCCTAGTCCATCTCCGGCACATTCCCGTCACGGCTGGGTGCTCTGCTTTGCATCTTCCTGTGTTCAAGATAAAGACTGACAGAGCAGCTACCGGAGGGAAGACAGCACTGGAGCCGCTCTGGGCTCTCAGAGCTTCCATTTTCCCCATTTCCCTAGGCAATGCACGTCAAGTATCCAAACACAACTTTCAAAGGGGAAGGAAATACAATCCTATCAGATACAGGAGAGGAACAAGAATTGTACAGAAAACAGCATGAAATTCCCACAGGAGGAGTTTGCACAAAGCCCAGGAGCCCCACCTAAAACCATGCAGGCATCCTCTTCCTCTGTGGCCTGGCAAGGCTGCGGCACCAGGAGCAAGGCAGTCCTGAGGAGACTTGACAAGCTATGGGCAGGTCAAGGAACAGGAGAAATCTCCTTTCAGCAACTAGGGAAAGGGGATGAAGGAAGGAGAGAGGGAAGGGGGACTTCGAGGAGTTGAGGGAGGGGGCTTCAATCAGAACATATTGTAAAAAAAAAATAAAGTAATAATTTTTAAAAAGATGTATTTATTTTGTATATACCAGATCTTATTATGGATGGTTGTGAACCACCATGTGGGTTGCTGGGAATTGAACTCAGGACCTCTGGAAGAGCAGCCAGTGCTCTTAACCACTGAGCCATCTCTCCAGTCCCCAATAATAATTTTTTTAAAAAAGAAGAAAAAAAAAAACATGTATGAAGAAGGTACCGGGGCCTTTTCTAAGGAGGTTTTTCCAGGAGAGAGTGAAGGAATAATGAGCCATATAAAGAGGTTTTTTTTAAAATCTTTATTCTGTCTATCTATCTATCTATCCATCTATCCATCCATCTATCTATCTTTCTATCTATCCATCCAGCTATCATATCTATATATCTATTTATCTATCCATCCATCATCTATCTATCTACCTATCACCTATCCATGCATCTATCATATTTATCTATCATATCTATCCATCCATCTATCTATCTATCATCTATCTATCCATCCATTATATCTATCTATCATCTATCTGTCTAGCCATCCATCCATCCATCCATCTATCATCTATTGTGTTTGTATGTGGTGGGGAGGGCATGTGCATGGCACAGCCTATGTGTGAAGGTCAGAGGACAACTCTGAGTTGGTTGTCTCCTTCCAACTGCGGGTTCTGGAGATGGAACTGAGATGGCCAGGCCTGCATAGCAAGAGCTTTTACCCACAAAGCCATCTTAACAGCCCATGGAAGAGTTTTTGCCTGTGAGAGTTCAGGCATTTAAAGAATGATGGGAATCAGGAAATAAGTAGGTGACAGAGCTGGAAAGAACTTTGCATGCTGTATTATGGGGCAAGGGCTTTATCTTGTAGGGCCAGTGTTTTCAGGCAGGAGGTTAATTAGATTAATGGTGTGGCACTAGGATTGGCTAGAGGATTTTGGTAGTGGTCCAGGTAAGATCTGATAAAGCTATTTTAAAGTGAAATTAGCAGGGGCTAGAGAGTTGGGTCAGCGGTCATTGGCTGCTCTTGGAGACGACTTTGGTTCAATTTCCAGCACCCACATGACAGCTCCCAACCATGTAACTCCAGTTCCAGGGAATTGGATGCCTTCTTTTGGCATCAACACACACTTGGCACAAAAACATACATGTAGGCAAAACACCCATACACATTAAAAAGTTACAAAAAAATTAAAAATCTAAAAAACAAAAAGAAAAAGAAGGTATGGTGATAAATCAGCTACGAAGGTATGAAAAACGAAGGCTAGCAAGCCGATGTGATCATGTGTGCCTGTAACCTCAACACATGGGAAGCTGACGAAGGTGGATTAGGAGTCCAAGCCCCACCTGGACCAGTCTTGACTACATCACAAGATCCTGTCTTAAAGAAAGAAGGGTGTGGAGGAGGACGAGGAAGAGGTAGAGAAGGAAGAGAAAGAAGAAAAAGGGCGACAGCTGTTCCCACCAAGACTCAGTTTCTCCGTGCTTTTAGCCACTCGGCTCGGGCCCACATTTGTACAGAGCTTTGTAGCACTTGG